GAGACCAAGATACACATTTATCTCAACTGGTCAGTATTCAGACTTAATACAACGAATTTCTTGTGGACAGTTATAAAGCCCTATGTTTAAATTCAAATAATACACTTCATAGGTATAAGTTAAAGAAGACTCATCTTGAAAGAAATTTGGCAATTTTAGTTGATCATAAATTCACTATAAGCCGAAAAAGTATTATAAGCTTTTTAAAAAAATAATGAAAACTTAAGTATTAGAGAGAATAAGGTTCAAATCGAGGAAGGTGAAAACTGCATTGTAATTGGTAATTTGGTCTTACAAGTACTGTGGTCACTTCTGTGTCACATTTTGAGAAGAACAGGGGTTTAAGAGAAGGGTATTAAGATTATGGCAATTTCAGCATCCAGATAATTTGAGTAATGACCGGGGGAAACCAGAAAGTTAAGACTGCAGAAAAGAAAACCCACACAAGTGTGGAGGGAGAGTGACAACATTGGAAAGGCTATTATGTGGAAGATGGAGTGCATTCTATTTTGCACAAAGAATAAGAGAACCAACAAGGAGGAGCTACAGGGACCTAGAAATTGGAAATCACAACTACCCTACAATAGACTACCTTGCAAAGGAAGAACCACTCCTTTAGTCATGGCTGGATAAGGCTTTGTTGAGGACACTGTAAAATGCCTTCTATATTAGAACTAATAACTTGAACCTTTAAAATATTCTTAATTTTAAACATATAATTTTACATGAATTCTAGTCTCTTAGCAGCTGCCCAGAACATTTCCATGTTACACTACAACTTTATTTTATTTTTTATCTGCTAGTAAAGTATCGGATTCTAACTATGCAAAGCAATTAAATGCATTATATTTTAAAATTCTACCAGTTGTCTCATTATCTCACTTTCATATTTGAATAAACTTGATATGATTGATAGAGGGATGACCCAAGGACTCACAGTTAATGTCTTTAAAACCAGGCTTCAGACCCCAAACACTTTGCTCTAAATACTATGCTTATGACAGATCATTATTACTTTATATAATTATAAAGGTACATTGTTCTAAACAGTAAATATAAGACTAGAAGTATTCAACCAGACTTTCTTCCTTTGTTTTTCTTTCTTTTTCACTCTCTCTCTCTTTCTTTCTTCTTTTCTTCTTTCTTTTTTCTTTGATTTATTGATATTTTTACTAAAGGATCAATACTGTGGTTCCATGTTCTATGTTATTTTTCAGGAAGTTATTTTGCACTCTTAAGCAAGGCTTATCAGTGGCACCTGAGAACCTTCACCATTTTTTGCACAAAGATGGGATTCAGGTGAGAAACATAGGATGCTACCACTTGAATACCCAGGTTCCTCATCCAGAATTGCTGTCTTGTGTGGAGGAACACCACTCAATGATAAGAACACTTATATAAGCACAAGATGCACTTATCATAGTTGGTCTAGAGTTACTCAGCCTCCTTGATAAAAGAGGAATTATGAGGAAGTGGTCAACGCATCTTCTTTGTATAACCCTCACAAAGACCTATTTCTTCCTTGCCATCCAATGAATTTAGAGGTCAATTAGCTGTTTTTTGTAGTCCATCTACCAACTCTCAAATACTGATGACATCCACAGGATGAATGCTTTTGGTGGATAGACCTTGCTGCATATTAGATATATGCAGCGTTATCTTTAAAATATTTAATCAAGTATTCCAATCTTTGGAGAAGTTGGTCTTCAAAAGAATATTATATTCAAAATACTAGATATATGAGATGAATGGATTTGCGTATGCTAGTACTCAATAAATATTTGAAAATTGAACTTGTAAAAAATAAGCAAAATTAATTTATATAAAGGCAGACAGCTGAATAAGTTGTAGAAAAGGATACTGCCTATCTATGTACTTCGTAAAAGTATATGACATCTCTTTAATGCTTCTTAATACCCCCTGAGCCATTTATCTTCACTTTTATTTTTATAACAAGTTTTTCTTTTTTATATCCAATGTGTGTGTGGTTCTTAACATTTTAGGGAATTTTGAAGTCCTTTGAAGATTTGATGAACCTAATTAGATTCTCTCCCCCAGAAGAATACTTCTCTGAATACACCTGTCAAATTTTATTAATAAATATTGTTAGAGGTTACTAACTCCTGGTGCCTAATCACTGGACTCTGGAGATCTATGTCCCACAGGTCAAGAATCCTTGAGGTGTTTACTATTGATAAATTTTATACAGCTGTGATCTTTAAAACATCACAAATTTTTAGATGTTTATGTTTGAGAGAGAGAGAGACAGAATGTGAGAGGGGAAGGGGCAGAGAAAGAGAGTGAGACACAGACTCTGAAACAGGCTCCAGGGTCTCAGCTGTCAGCACAGAGCCTGATGTGGGGCTCAAACTCATGAATCATGAGTTCATGACCTGAGCCACAACCAAGAGTCAGATGCTTAGTTGACTGAGCCAGTTAGACTCTCCTAAAATTTCATAAATTTTTAAGGTAAGCTACATTATATAGCCTTTAACTTAGACATTAAGAAGAGGCAGTTTCTTTCCCCAATATATTTAAAAGTCTTGAGTAAATAAGAAATGACATATGTCTAGAACAACATAGGTATAAAATGGATTAAGCACTCATGTTCAATGTACCATGAAAATGGAGAAAAAGACTGAGCTCTGGCTTTTCTATCACCTTATTCTAAAAAACCAGAGTTTTAAATCAATTTCCAACCCCTAGACTAAAACTCACGAAAAGTGAGTAACCAATAGGTCATCTCATTTCCACAGTCACTTTGCTTTTGCAAAAAACAAAAACAAAAACAAAAACAAAACAAAAATAAAAAGTGGGAAATGAAAAAGTATATTCCTTTACACACTTGTTTTTTGCATTTTTATTTTTCAAAGAGCACAACCTGAGCAAACATTTTTAACATGTTTTCTTGAATTTATAATTATTATGGAAAATAATAGTATACAAGTAGCCACCTTTTTCTTTGCACTTAGTTGTCCAAGGCACATTAGTTCTTATTATCCTTACTACCCTATGAGGTTGGTATCATTGCCCTTAATCTACTAATGAGAAAAGTTGAGTCAAAGAAAATAGGTAACTTGTAGCTAGTAAATGATAGTATTGGAATTTAATCACAGATTTACTTAAATTACATTGCTTTTTATAGAGAAAATCATTATTTATGAAGTCAGCATCTTCATGTTGTTTTTTAACTGTTTCTATGAGTTTGCAGTTTTCTGCAGAGAAAGATGAGCAGATGTAAACAAAGGTACATTTAGTGGCTGTATCTTTAAGTGTAGGAGTGTAGCTGTGCTTAATGAATATTAAAACCCAGACAAATGGAGGCGGTCTTCTTCTCCTGGTTGTCTAAAGGACAGGTTTTTCTTTCAAAGTCAGCCTTCCTTAGTGGGCCACTTTGTCCCCAAATGGTGCCGCATATACTTTTTTGAAATCAATAAATCCACAGTTGTATTAAGAAATATTTTATTAACAAAACAGTAAATTCCACTTGCTTAGCATTTCCAATAATGGATAAATTGGCCTTGCAACAGAAAAAACAAAACAAAACCCTTAGATACCCAATCACACAAAGCACTAGAAGGGTAGGGTCATGTGGCCTTTCTTTGATGTCTTGGGGACTGACCACCTCACACTTTATTGTATTTGTTCGTTTTTTTTTTTTTTTTTTTAAAGGCAACACATTACATGGATAAAAAAGAAGCATACTCAGTCAGAAAAGTTACAGTCTAGAGATGTAATCAAATTTATGCCAGGTAGTGTGAAATCCTGTTAACTGCCAAACTATTCATGGAACCCTGATACATTCGGTATGTAGATACTTGGATCTTATTCATGTCTTTTTTTCTCTCTAGCTCATGTTCCTCTCTTTTCTTTCTCCATTCAAAAAGAAAGAAAGAAGAAAAAAATTGCTAGGTTTTGTGTAGTCCAATAACATTAGAAATATTTTTACTGACAATATTAGATTATATCATTGCATGAAATTTCAAATTTTATGCTGGCAAGAAATATTGAAATCAACCCCAAACAACCTGCTTCATAGATACACTTCTTTAAAATGCCATTATTTATTTTCTATCATATTTATAATCTTTCCAGATGGAAACTAGTTTGAGTTCAGTAGATCAAATGGAAAAGCAACCATTTCTTTTTAAAACCTTAAGATCTAAATTAGTGGTTTCATATTTACCTTCCTATTTCACTGGCTTTCCCTGAGTAAGACTGAATTAGAGAAAAAAAAAAAAAAAAAGACATGAATTCTTTAAGCTAGCAAATTAAAAAAAAAAGAAGAAGAAAATTTGAAACACAAGTTATGGATACTAAATTTTAGTTTTAAACCTCTACTTTCTGGGTCATGAAAAGCCTTTTAGACTTTTCACATACCACAATATCTTGGCAACCATAGATAGTGGTGATTTGCTATGAATTATACATATTTCTAAGGTGCTGTATGTCTGAAATCCAGGCCACTTCTTGGCTTTTTTCATCAACTGGAGTATCGCAAAAGATGTTTTACATTTCTTGCCCTTGCTGATTAAAGCTCATGGTAAAGGAATTCTCTTTTATGAAATCTAGAATCATTCTTTTTAGGAGATGTTAAAGTAATGAGACCAATTTTTACTGAGGCATCACCTTACAATCTAATAATGCATTTCCTTTGCATTATCTGCTCATATTAATAATTTATTGCTATGAACATCATTGAAACAATATGCAAAAACAAGTGTATAATCTATAGTTTTCTATCACTTAATATGTTAAACTAAAACTATATTAATGATATATATGTAAAACCATAAAAGTTAAAATATGGTCAATAATCAACAGAGAATGATGTTTTTAGATGGGTACTAATACAATTGTTGAAAATACTTTCTTAGTTGAGAAAGTGTTTACTTTCCAAAGTATTTAACATGCACATCAGGTTCAGAGTGTGTGTGTGTGTGTGTATGTGTGTGTGTATATATATATATACACATATATGTATGTGTATATATATGTGTATATATACACATATATATATATGATTTTATTGAAAACAAAGTTTTCAATTGCAGCAGCCAGGGTTAAACTATAGATTAACCAATTTTGCTTCTGTAACCTCCCCACATAATTTTTCGTATTCATGCAGCAATATACCAGTGATATCCTATTTGCTAACAAAAGGTTCCATTTCATTAGGGACTAAAATCTTCTCAGGGTTTCTTGGGAGCATGATCTCAATGAAGCAAATCACCCCATTTTTCATCAATACCTTGGCACAACTATCTTCCTTCCTTCCTGCTTTTCAATTTGTCAGTAAATATTTGCTGTTATATATATGTTCGGGTTTTCCATCATATCTGATGGATTCCTCTGTGTGTGTGTGTGTGTGTGTGTGTGTGTGTGTGTGTGACTGTAAATGGTGAAAGTATATGAAAAATGTATTTGGGGGAGAAAAGAAGATTATAAGATACATATGTATATATTTTACCTTCTAATTCACACCTTTCATACAAATACTAAAACTTAATTGCAACAGAATGAAGGCTGTACATGTTAGAAAAAAAAAGTAGCTGAGTCTTTTTATATACATTCATACATATCTTCCTTAGAATAAACACTACATTGTAAGTTTTTAAAAAAGTAAGTAATTGTGGCAATTTATAATGGTGGCAAAAAAAAAACCCCAAAAACAAAACAAAAACCCTGAAATAATTGTTGCTCCAATGTCATAAAACTCCCTATACTTAGCAACACTTATAACATTGAATTTACCAAAAATGGCTGAAGAGCAGAGATATATTTTGCATTTTCTATACAACAGGCTATAAAACGTCACTTATCACAGTCCAGAAAGCACACAGAGATGGATTTTATATAAACATATGTAATAACATATTAAGCGTGCATGAAAATTTCCCAATGGTTGCATCTATGCCCTCTTGGGTTTTTTTGTTTTGAAATCTTAGTGTGAAAATGTGCCTTATATTTCACATTGTTGAAAATAAGGCCTCCATACTTTTTTATTCCCTCACAACCAGAAAGGGGCTTTTTGAATGTGTTCCTACAAGAGTCTTCAAAAAAGCCAGCACTTTGTTTCAAATGCAAGTTCCAACCACTGCTCCATCTGCGCCAGGGGGTAAACCCAAAGGTTTGCAGTTTGGGTCATTCCAAACACACAGTCTTCTCTGGCCATCGGACTAACTGACTTCTCAGGAAAGCGCTAGCACTTTGGCTAAATCCAGGATCATAGGTAGCTTCTTTTTTTTGTGTGTTGTGTGTTGTGTTGTTTTTGTGTTGTGCCTCGATGTTGTTAATACTCCTTTGCTTTATGAATGCGTGCGGTCATCACTGTCTTTTAGAAATGTTCCAGCAACATAAAGACAGGCAGAGTAAATGAAAACACTGTGGATGTTAGGGAATTTATTGGCCCCTGTTTGTTTTTGTTTTTTGTTTTTTTCTTTCTTTTTTGGAGAAACAAGAGCATGAGATACTTGTTTTTATTTTTTTAAAAACAGTCTTTCCTTCCTGATTGCATTCCCTGTCTTCTTTTGTATGTGCTTCGTAAAAAGGAAAGTAAATAAGTTTATATTATGTCTCAGATAAAATGAAGACTATTTCTATACAAGGGTCTTTTTAAGATCTTGGGATCAGACGTAATACTCTTTATCCTTGTTTTTCTTATTTTTGTTGGCGCTTTTCGCACTGCTGGGTTGTTTCTCCTTTACGACAGCCCCATTGGACTGTGCTGAGTTACTGATGTAGTTTCGACTCTCATCCACATGGTATGAGCCTTCATCCCGGTTTCTGTACTTGTACATGGCATAGAGGAGGATGAGAATGCACAGGGCGGCGGCAGCTACTATCCCCACCACCATGCCTGTGGTGCTGCTGGACTCCCGAATCACTTCCGCTGAGCCTGGGTATGGCTCTCGCCCGCCTGCTCGGGTTGGGTTAGCTGTAGGAAAGAGGGTGAGAAAAACGTATTTTGATTACTGAGTTCACCGAATGCCCAATAGCTATATTAACATGTACCATCTATCTTCATGCCTAAAGGAATAACACCTAAGGCTTTAGGAAAAGGATACTGCTGCCGCTATATGTAGCAATCCCTATGCCTTATGGTCACTAGAACTAAGTGACTAAGAATCAAAGCACTTGGGGGAGAGATCTGTTTCTATTTTTTCCTTATCAAAGATCTATTTCATTACTGTGATATTGTAAGTGCAGCCCCAAATGCTTCTGTAGCTCTTAAGGGCCACGTTGATGTGTTAGATGAAAAATCATAAACCCAACATGGTAAATAAAATCATAATGATACTACCTTATAGTATCAGAGGGTAGTAATTTAACAATCCAGTTGATGTTCATATGAAACACTTGGGCTAGCTCTGGACTCTGAATTATTATAGCTAAATTTACTATTATTTTAGAAATCATATTGCCTCATGCAGTAATGAATATAGTATTGAACAATAAGATAATCTAGGCATTTTGAACAGACTAATTGCTTGCTTGTAAAAGTGTGATGTTAGTCACAGTTTACAAACTAAAACAAACCTAAATCCTTTTCTGTTGGAGGTTTTAGTCACATAAGTATGTATGTATCATCCATTCATTAGCAGTGGTTGAGTGATGACCAAAACTAAATTTGGGAGGGGGAAGTAGGAAAATATTTTTTTCTCAGTTTTACAGGCCATCTAGATTGGGTATGAGTCAAAATTCGGTACTTAATAGATAATGAATAAAGGACTGGTTAGCCCATTTTTCTTCAACTGGCAAATTCTCATTCAGCCTTTCCAAAGGATAAATAAAGCTCTTCCACGGGTGCAAGAAATGGATTACAGGGTGCATTAATATCTTCTCCAAAGCACAGTTAGGTAACAAAACTGACGATAAATGGAGAGAAAAAGTCCTGAGATTTAATTTGTAAGTGGGGGTGGGGCAACTCTTTTTCTCTACACAATAAATTTTATTTTTGAAAGAATTTTTTAAAAGATTAGGAACTGTACAGTGATAAAAAACTGTCCTATCTCTGGGCCTAGGTCATTTTTCTCTATGGGTTGTGTTTTCTTCCTCTGAATCTGTTTCCTCTCCTTTGTCTTAGAGAAAAAGATTATTTTTCAGATGTTGTGGATTAAAAATGCTATAATTTTCAAAATATTATTTTTTCTAAATTAGGCAGAATGAATTAAAATAATCTCAAGGTTCTGTGTGTGTATATATATATATATGTATCAGATATATATGTGTGTGTATATATATGGTGTGTTTATAGAAATTGAACACAGGAAGACTAAACTTGTGTTTTTATCATACTACTATTAAACATCATTTAGTTGCTATTTTTTAATATTTCTACAAAAGTTCCTATGTAATCCTGGGAGTAATTTACCAACTGTAGCTTTGTATTACTTTGTAATTCCATTTCCAAACATCACCAAGATTTCTTCTGCCTAAATGTGGGTTTCTTGCTGTCACTTTCCTTTCCTTCCCCAAACAAAGCCTTACAAATATAGTCACTTACAAAGTAATAGCTCTTGGTCTCAAAGCAGCAATATACTGTGTTCTGGAGCTGCAAAATGTATCAGGTAAAATCTTTCTATGCTGAATACGTCTCTGCTTGTTTTACAAAAGCCCCTGTAATGTTGCTGAATAAAATGCCTTGGAGTTGCTGCTGTGGCCAATGTAGAAGGAGACAAAGACTATAATCCACAGAACTTGATTACAGGAAATTAATTTCCTCTCAAGAAGAATAGAATGTGCTGCAGGAACTCTGTCACTACCTCACAAACCAGAGGCAGCACTTTCTCTTTCAAATACAGTCATCTTTGCCAAAGTGTGCCAATTAACTCAGCTGCTAACTTTCACTAAATGACAACTTTTACTTGCTCATTTGTGGATCGCTCTTTTAACATGGTGTCTCAAGGGCTAAAGAAAGAATTTTATTTAAATGTTACCTAAATCTTTTCCCCCAACCTGATGGTGTGCTTTTATTTTAAACACATTTTCAAAATTATCTCACTTTGTCTGTCAGAAAAGAATGGGGAGAATGGAGACAAAATCCTAATCATATAGTTCATGCTAGTAAGATGTGAGAGCTTTAATGAAATGCAGGGTTTAAATGTTCTATACTAAGAAGGTATACGTTATTTTCCAGTTAGACACTGGTATCATAAATGGACTACCTTATCCAAGAATTGTAGCCTTATTTTTTTCTGCTCAAATATTTCTTTATTAATCTTTTTTTTCTTTTTTTTTTTTGAGGGAGGGAGGGAGAGGGAAAGAGAGGGAGAGAGAGGCAGAGGGAGGTGGAGAGAGGAATCCCAAGCAGACTCCATGCTCAGCACGGAGTCTGACTTGGGGCTTGATCTCACAACCCTAGGATCTTGACTTGAGCCGAAATCAAGAGTCGGGTTCTTAACTGACTGAGCCACCCAGGCGTCCCACTGCTCAAATATTTCTCATCTATGTTCACAACAACTGTGTAGGCAGCACAGCAGCAACACATGGATATCAACAATTGATATTACAACAAGAATGAGATGCAACTAATGCAAAGCCTCAAATGCTTCAAGTCTACCACACAGGCATTTGATAAACACCTCCTATTTAAGGAAAATACTTGCTTTTTTTTTTTTTTTTTTTGCAACTCCAGCCAAAATGTTGCATAAGTCACATGCAGGCCTAAAAATATCTCTGTAACCCATATGTAAACAAAGATTCTAAATATCGTTTTTTAAAAATAACCTACCAAAAATGCCAAAACCCGATGATGAAACATTTTATCCTTTTTTCCCCTTATGCACACTAAAAACTTAATAACCACCCCAGGTATTATTATAGGCCTGCTTGGAACATGCAGTTGCTTCTGTGTCTCACTGATTTTTTTTTCTGTTTTTGCCTCAAATATGAAGGATTAAGTGACATTTTTTTTAACCTTTGTGCTAACATCAGAAGTATTTATACACTAAAGACATCTCTCCCAGATGTACAAGAAAAGGCTAGAGAAATTTAAATGTATTTATAAATTATAAATGTGGCTTCATTTATTGTTATTAATGGTTTATTTTGATGATCACTGGGAAACCTCTGAGGAAATTTCATATTAATATAAATGCAGAGAGGAGTAGAAATGGCTAAGAAAGGCTAAATGCCTTCTTATATAATTTGTTTAAAATTTTATATCAAAAAGAAACTCAGTTCTCTCTTAACCCTTTATAACAATGAGAAAAAGGGAATTTAATCAGTGAAATCCATAGCAATTTTGTATTTCTTGCATTTGAGAATTTTGCATTCCCTCTACACTCAATACATTAAACCAAGACACTTTAAATAAATAAAACAATGTATATGTGTTTTCTCAGTAGTGCTAAAAAAACCAGCATGTGATGAGAACACTTTAAAAACTGATAAAAGAGAATAAGGGAAGGGGCTAAAAGAACAGAATACATATAAATTAGCAGTAAGTCCTTAAATGGTCAAAAGTTAACTGATTTGTAGGTAAAACCAAGCTAACTGGACCAGAGAGACAAGGAGCCCAGGTCCATGGAAAACTTTACCAGGACTGGGGAGGGATACTGAACAGGCCAGAGGATGTGACTATCTTTTGGTGTGACTGCAAACAGGCAAGTAAGCTTTCAACTGCAGTGGTGGTACGTGTACTTTGATTTGAGGCTAGGTTGCAAGTCAAAAAAAACACCAAAAAACAAAAAAGAGTCGATGAACTTATCCTAAATGTTTATGCCCACTTATGTCCTATTTCAATGGATCATAAAGTAGAGAAGCATCATGAATTACACACAATTTATGTGAACACTGAATCAATAGATTATTTACTCCCATATAATTCACACCCATCATCATGTGCCCTCAGAATCAACTGGAATGGAGAGTAAATTACAAGATCTACTACCCGTGGGGAAAGCACATATGCACACCTGAATGGCAATATGAAGGCTTTTGATTTCTGGTGGCATTTTTGCCTAAATGATTCAGAAGCCACTGACTGCATGGTCAAGGACAAAGAGCTTTTTTTTTTTTTTTTTTTTTTTCTCTATTGGTGATTCCTTTTTTTCTTTTTTTTTTTTTTTACAAATAGTTTATTGTCAAATTAGTTTCTACATAACACTCAGTGCTCATCCCCAAAGTGCCCCTCCTCCATGCCCATCCCCCCCTCCCCCCCACATCCATCAGTCCTCAGTTAAGGACAAAGAGCTTTTGAAAGGGTTATAACCTCTTTCACAGAAACTACTTTTCTGCTAAATAGCTATGAAAATATGTGTGGGGTTTTCATAACACTGTGGACCAGTAAACAGTGTTATCATAAATGACAGATGAGGGGTGCCTGGGTGGCTCAGTCAGTTATTTGCCCGACTTTGGCTCAGTTCATGATCTCACGGCTCGTGGGTTCAAGCCCCACATCAGGCTCTGTGCTGACAGCTCAGAGTGTGGAGACTACTTCAGATTCTGTCTCCCTGTCTCTCTTCCCCTCCCCTACTCTTGCTGTCTCTGTCTCTCTCTCTCTCTCTCAAGAATAAATAAAAATGTAAAGGACAGATGAAAACTGTTTTTTAGTTCTCTCTTTCTCAATCTCTTTCAAATATTTGGCAAGATCTGAAGGTCTCTACATAGTCTGCTTTGGCTCAGATTAATAAGGGATCCTGCATGTGAACTCTAGGAATTTTCTTGTTTTTCACTGTCTAAATACTGTGATTATTTAGGTACGCATAGTCTTTCACGTATTAGGACAATCATTAACACATGTCCACATCATACCCTAAGCCGATGTATCATATCAGATAAAAATTCATTGTGGAAAATGCACAGCAAACGTAAAAGACATATTCCAGTGCCTTGTCGTATAAAACCATTAATGAATGCATTTGCTGCTTTCATAAAAAACTAAAAAGTAAACTATTTAAAATCTTAACTTATCCTTAAGTTTGCTGAGATAGT